ATGCTGGAGCTACAGGTGGCTGGGGACCCAACTTAAGTCCTTTATTAGAGCAGCAAGGTCACTTACCAGCACTGCTGAACCATCTCTCCAGTATACAACTTAAAACAAAACAAACAAACAAAAAGATTCAGAGATTCTTTAGATATTTCAGGTTTTATTCTATATATTTTTACTTTTTTTGAGATTTTAATTATATTATTCCCTTTTCCTTTCCTCCCTCCAACCCTTTCCATGTACCCCCTCCTGCTCCCACTCAAATTCTTGGCCCCCTTTTCTTTAATAGTTGTGTGCATTGTCTATCTCCCTAAATCTCTCTCTCTCCATCCATCCATCCATCCATCCATCCATCCATCCATCCATCCATCCATCTCCTACTGACCTATCTCCCTTGATACATAGATACAACTTGCTCAATCTGGATAATGTTACTTATGTTTGCTTTCAGAACTGAGCATGTGATAGTGGATAACCTACCACTTGCTGTGCTCTTCCCTGGGGAAAATTATTTCTCCAGTTCTCAGCATTCCTTGGTTGCCTGTGGTCCTTTGTCTATGGTTGAGGTTGCATGAGTTTCCCCTTCCATGCAAGATGTCTACTGATGTCATCCTTGTCAGCTCATATTTATGTAGCTATGTTGGTGAGACTTAATAAATGTAGCTTTTCTGATATTTCAAAGAGACAAAGTCTCAGAGAAAACTCTTTCTATCTGGCTCTTATAATTTTCTCACCCCCTCTTTCATATAGATCTCTTTGCCTTAGGTAAAGGAGTTGTGTTATAGATGTATCAGTTGGGATTGGCTTCCACAATTCTGTAATTTGATCAGTTGTGGTTTCTGCAATGGTCTCCTTCCATTGCAAAGAGAAATTTCTTTGTAAGCAAGAACTATACTTATCTGTGGGTATAAGGATACATATTTAGAGTGTAGTTAGTGTATTGGTTTAGTAAAATGGCAGTTGTAAGTTCTCCTCCAAGATCTAAGACATTGCTAGCCCTGGGTAGTCAGTCGGCTAGGTTTCCAGACCCACACATAATTTCCCTCTTGCTGAGTGAGCCTTAAATCCAATTAGAGAGCTATTAGGTATAAACTTTACTTTATGGATTATGAGTGTTTTGTCTGTATGTCTGTCTGTGTACATGCCTGGAACAGAGGCCAGAAGGAGCTAGATCCCCTGGAACTAGAGTTAGAATGGTTGCAAGCTGCCACATAGGTCCTGGTAACTGAACCCTGGTCTTCTGGAAGAGCAGTAAGTAGTCTTTACTGCTAAGTCATCTCTTCAGCTTCCCATCCTATAACTTTCTAAAACACTGTGTCTTCTCTTAATTTGAAAATAAAAAATGGTTCTTAAGTTTAATACTCATGAAAAGTTGCTTTAACAAATCTCAACTATGACTATTTTATCTGGGAAGCAACAAATAGGAAATGCCTACTCTGTCCTAGGAAGGGCATGTAAATGCTGATGCCCAAAGTGGCCTAAATATTCTATTTTTATACACTTCAGAAACTGAGGCAAGCAAGAAAATCAAAACAGGATTTTATTTGCAGTTCAAAGGCTAAATGTTTTAAAGTGTCAAATCTGGATTAAGTACATGAGAATTCTTACATGATTTTAGAGTTCATCTCTAATAAAAATGTACTGCTTAAAAAAACAAGTTTAGGTAGTATTCACTATACGTGCACCCTCATCATTAGCTTGGTGGGCTTTTTAAGCCAGTAAACCAATCAGAAATATAATCAAAAGTATATTAAAAAGCTTAGTAGAGAAGAGCATATCACTAGTAGAGGTATATAAAGCAGGTAATTGATGGTGCAGGAAGCTAAAAAGATATCCCAGGTCAGCTTGTTTCCTTATAGTGTGGTTCACAGTCAAATAATTCTCAAAACTCAAGATACGGTACCCCAATGTTTAATTTCTACAATGTACATCATTTCTTTTAACTTATAAAAGATCACAAAAGAGAAAGCACAGACACTTTCTCTCTGGCATCACCCTGTGTGCTGCTACCCAGCACTATTTATTAAGAATTCACAGTAATTACATATTTTGCAAGTGCCACAAAACCTGGTAACAAAAACGATAGGATAGCAGTGTATAAATTAAAAAGGGAGGGGTGGAAACCCCAAAGTAAACAAAAACATAGCATTACATTTTAGGTAAGAATAACTAACAAGCTTTACATGGAACACCTAGGCTAATGTTTAGAAGTGTGTGACTTTTAAAAATCTAAGTAGAGAGGGAATGAGAAGCCAAGGATGAACACTGGGCTAGGAGTTCGGAGACACGGGGAGCCACTTCACCTTTAGGGTTTCATCTTCTCATTAACAAAACTAGACTAGATCATCTCTATTGAATCTTTAAAAAGAGCAAACTGAACTTTCTTCTTTCCTTCTGTCCATAACCAATGTAAAACAGGCGTATTTCTTTTAGTATTTGCAATAAAGAAACATGGACACACAGCAGACACCATTTTGCAACAAAGTGTAATCTCTGACTGCTAATTATTCCTGTAATGACAACCAGGCCTTTCTCATCTTCTCTCAGCAGCTGACATGCTCCGGAAGCAAGCAAGCATCCTCATTAGGTAGTGACAGAACTACAGAAGTATTTAGTACTGACTGCAGTTCCTCAGTGCTTAGCAATTATAAAAAACACAACTAGGACAAAGGCTCTATTAAATCAAAGCTAACGGAGCCTTTTACATCTTGGTAGTGTGAAATGCGGATAACCTTTGGTTTTTGTTAAATATTTATATTGACTATCCCTCCTCTGCAAAAGGAATAACACAGTTTATTCCTATGTAGTCTGTGGCCATGGGAGCTGACAGCGTGTGCTAAAATTTGGATGGAAGATAGCAATGGTCACATCATATAGGGTACTTAATATTCTCTTGCACTGGAGATTTTTACCACCCTCCTGCTTTACTCTTTTTTTTTTTTTTTTTTTTTTTTTTTTTTTGTCAGAAGGCATGTTTAGCACTGGGGCATTCTGTAGGGTATAATAACATATAAGATGGCTAAATTTCATGTCTATCGTTACTAAATTTATGGCTTTCATTTTAGGCTCTGAATAGAAAATTTTTCCCCCCATGAAAAGGAACAACTTTCAAGTTAGTTGTTAGAGAATTTAGAATCAAATTACCATCCAAGCTTCTCTGAGTTGCATGAGATCATGCAAATCTACACTGTTGTAACATCCAGTGTTTTCCACAAACACCTGTGTTTTGTAAGCCTCCTCAAATCCCTTTAAAACAGGATACAGTGTAAAAATAAGGATATAGCTAGAAGTGATAATGAAGTACATTATCACTATACCTAAACCTATAACCTAAAAATTAAGGATGAGTATGACAATTATTATATAATGGATATAATTTCATATAGGAAATGCTAATTTTTCTTCTTTTTTTTTTTTTTAAATGAGATCACAGCTGTCAATTTAAGTATTTGCTATGCTGCTGGGACACTGTCTCCCTCAGTTACTTAGTAAAATGTCTATTTAGAGTTACTGAAAGAACATGGTTGTCTAATCTTTCTCTGGATAGTTTAGTGATTACTATGTTTTGAAATTTCTTTTACTTTTCCAAGTTCTATTTTTAATAAGCAGGCATGTTTATTGACTTAAAAAATTAAATCATGCTTATGTTAAGTGTTGGTTTTTCTATCTTATTGATATAATTTTCTTTTTAAAAATAAAAATGTCATACAGAGAATACACTTTGGGCAGAAAGTAGATCACACTGAATGTCACAGTTGTCAGAAATCTGAGAGATCAGATTTATGTAGTGCTTAAAGGAATTAATGAAATCTAGTGAAACCTGAACTTTTAATTTCATTGAAAACATAAAGAAAATGGGAATTTGCCTCTTTAAAATGGAATTATTTATATTAGTTATCATTAAATATTAGATTCTTCCCCATTCACACCTTATCCAAAGCATTCCTGCTATAAACAATGTAACTGAAGCATCATGTAATAATGTATACTTTAAAATAAGATTTCTGTTGTGATTTGGAATAATAAATATCACACATGAAAAATGTATCACCAACTAAATACAGCAGCAAAAGAAAAAGCTTATGTACACATCACCATGACCAAGGTCTTTATAAGAGTTTATAGTACAGTCCCATCACAGCGTATTTCTACACAAAGTCACTATGTGAACACTCAAAGAAATCTGTCTTGTATGTCTTAAATCTTGGTTTAATAAAGTTTGTACAGTATCAAATAATATCAAAAGTCTAAAAAACACAATGAGTTTTGATATCATGTTTATAAATTATTGTTTTATACACTTTACAAAACATAAGGTCAAAAGTGCTTTTTTAAAAAAAAGTTGAAGTTTCTATTCTTGATGATAATGGCTAGAAAAATGCACTGTTCTAAGCAGAAGCTATGTAAAGGCTTACACATTTCCCAGAGAATTTCTTTAAGCTTCTACTAACTATAGTTACTATGTGTCTAAGACAATATGATACCAAGAGAACAAACAAATCTTCCTGAAACATGACAGGGACATAGACTAGCCAAGAAGCTCAGCATGGAGCCATAATTAAAGACTTGCCCACAAGTGAGTCTTAGGACCCTGATTCCTGGGTGAATGTCTGTCATTGAATGAGACCCAACAGGGATAACTTCAGAGGTTGCTACACGTTTTTTAAGTTTCCACTTATGACTAACTGGTAATCATAAACCCTGGGATTATTACTTTTCTAATATAACTAAGACGAAACATGATTTAAAGGTGATAAATCATTTTATCTACTACTTTCCACAGGAAAACAGGACTAAAGAGGCAGTTATTAAAGACAATAGTATAAAAATGATTCAGGGAGAAATGAAATATGACTGTCTTAAATTTCCATTCATCACAGGACTAGCCATATTCTACACATTTAAGAGCAAACACACGCCAATGCTAAATTAAGTGACACATTATCCCTTTATGCAGGAGAATAAAATGTAAAACTACAGGCAAATAAACACACCAGAGAAAGAAATATAAAGAAAAATTTTACTTTTAAATTTACTGTGGGATCAAATTGATGGGGCTCTGTGAACCAAAATAGTACCCTGATGTCAACACCTCCATGCTGTTGAGCCTGGCTCAACATGACCACTCGCTCCTCAGCTGCTTTTGTAGATAAGATATCAAGCAATGGAGGATAACTTTTTCCATTGAATATGGTAAGTTCCTTGGTTGGTTTCTCATATATAGATTGCCTGAGATAATAAAATCATCAGCTTTATGATAAATAATGAAGGTCTTTCTAATTTTGACAGAACAAGATTGGTTGCTGAAACAATGGGTATTGGTGTAGGCTGCATACACATAGTTAATAATTAGTACTTTTAGCTGACAACTAGAAGTCGATGGATATGGATGCTTGTGCAGAATCATCTCGCCCTCTGACATAAATTTCACAGGGGATTTCCTCCATCACTCTGTCCTCTAGAGCCTGTTCAGGGCATTCATGCGCCTGTTTGAAAGTGTAGCTGCTTTTTTTGAAGGTGCTATTAAATGTTTTCATAGGCTGTGGTTGTGCAAAATCATTTCGGAAGGGAAGTTCCATGGAACTAAGGTTGGTCCTACTTTGTTTGACACTAGATGCTTGAGATCCACAGTGGTGGTCATGAATGCACCGGGAGGCTGTGGAGGAGCGCCGCATCTTCTGGTAGTTATCAAGTTCTTCTGACAAATCTGCAAGGTCTGCAGAAATCTCTTTCTCTCTTAGTGAAAATAGTTCATAATGAGGAGGGTCAAATACTTCCTGGAACCCAGTTTTATTAAAAGCACTTTTGCAAGCCATAACCTTTTTCCGGGGCTGTTTCACTTGCACTAAAATAGAAATAATGAGAAGAACCAAGACAATCCCTGATGTAATGCCAATAATTGTTCCATGAGTTTTAGTGATTTGTTCAAATAGTCCAGCTTTCTTCTTCTCTGTATAAAGGAAATGTTGAGATTTTCACAATTCATTAATAGGAGTTTCAGCACAGATTGACTAGATATTTTTAGGTAAAACAGGACATTTGGTTCAAATATATCAGATATAAAGCAATTGAAGAATTGTTTTTTAAACAAACAGAAAATACCACGATTTCTGAGTCAACTAACAAATTATGATATAGGTAGCTAGGAACAGAAAAACTAAAGTACCTGATTTCCTTACTCAAAAGTTCACAAGTGCCTACAATTTGCAAATTACATCAATATAGAAAATGTCAAAAACAAATACTCTTGATCTATTAAGTTTAGTTTTCTGCTGTAAGGCAGATTTGACAACTGCTGTGTAGATTCCTATCTGCAGGATCAAACTAACAATCCAGGTACACCACCATGGTCTACTGTTCTGGAATGATAAATACTTGCATGCCAAGTAGTTAGTGTTGCCCTCAGATAACATCAGCTTCCTACAGTAAGATATTTATTTAACTCTAAAGAAGATGAAAGACATATATTTTATTTTTTCTAACTGCATGACAACCAAGTTACAAGTGTCACCATCATATTTGACAATCACAGTATATGTTAGAAATAGAAGTAACTTGATAAAGAGAAAAAAAGAGTTCTATATGTGTTGCTTTTATGTCACTTCAATAATCTATTAGTCCTTCCATTCTCAAAGCTATCCTCTAAACTATCTGGTGACCACATAGTTCAATGATAACATAATACAGGGAATGAAATACAAAGAAACACTTCTGAGTATTAACAGTACATTCCACAAAGAGATGCTTTTGGGAATATTTCTTTTATAACATCCCAAAAGTCAATTGTCCTTTAAGAATGTTAGTAGGGCAAGCAATGGTGGTGCATGCCTTTTATATAAGCATTCTGAAGGAAGAGGCAGGCAGATCTCTGAGTCTGGGGTCAGCTTGGTCTACAGAGTAAGTTCTAGGACAGCCAGGGCTACACAGAGCAACCTTTTCTTCAGGGCTCGGGGAGAATGTTATGTTAAAGTAACACTGCTAAGCACACCAGTAGAAAAAGACTCCTCAAGGAATGCTGGCCTTTGCATTGGACTTACCTTTACAGTGATTCTCATCCCAAGGGTATGCACAGTTCTGAACACCATTACAGACCAAAGAATTGTTAATGCACATGTTGCTATGGCAAAAGAAAGTGCTGCTTGTACAGGGAGCTGCAGGAAGAAAGAAAACGAATGTTGCTAAGAACAGTGACACACAGACTACAAGTCCATCTTCATTTATAGTGTACTTAAGAATTTAACTTTAGCCTGGTGTGGAGATGCACACTTTTAATCCTAGCACTAAGGAGGTAGAAGCAGGTGGATCTCTCTGAGTTCAAGACCAGCCTGGTCTACAAAGCGAGTTCTAGGACAGCCAGGATTATGTAGAGAACTTGTCTCAAACTAACTAACTAACTAACTAACTAACTAACTAACTAACTAACTAACTAACTAACTTCCTTACTTAACTTTGTAAGAGTAATTTCTTAGCTTAAAGACCTTTCCATGAACACACTGTAATACACAACCAGTAAGACAAAGGTCAATATTCTATAATGCTGGCTCACACAAGTTTTTGAATGCTGGACACCAAAAGGTTATTTTTAGTGTTATGACAATACGAGTATAGATATGCCTCATACTTCTTAAGGAATTTCTACATAGGTGAGAAAATTTTTCTAAAACTTTAAAAGACAATGTTAGCAATTGAGATGATTCATTATGAGCTGATGAGATTCTGCCTAGGAGGCAGACCTCTGGACATGTTTGTGAGGATGCTTCTGGAAAGGTTTAACTGAGGTACCATTGGCTGTAGTCCCTGACTGAATGAAAAGGTGAAGGTCAGCATAGCACTAGTGTTCACTGGTTGGCTTCTGCTTCCTGACCTCGGACATCATATGACAAACTGCCTGTGTGCCTGCTGTCATAGCTTCCTTGCCATGACGGATTGTCTTCTTAAATTATGAGCCAAAATAAACCTATACCTTCTTAAGTTGCTTTTGTCAGAGCAACAAGAAAAGTAACTAATATAGAGGAAATGGAGAGGCATTAGGGGCCTTCTATGTGTTGCATGTGGGGAAATAAGCCATAAGATGTTGTGGAAAGCTGATTTCTTCTCAAAAAGTTGAACACAAAATTATCTCATGATCCAGAAATACTACTGCTAGCTATATATCCAACAGTACTCTGTAGGAGCTCAAATTGGTACTTAAATACTAGTGGAAGGCAGTATTAGTCACATTAGCCAGTAGGCAGAAGCAAATCCCACATTCATCAATGGCTAAAAGAAAATACGACAATGGAATGTTAAGAAAAGAAATTGCTGCATGGATGAGAGATAATAAGATAATTCTAAGCAAAATAAGGCAGCTATTTCAGTTCCCATAATTAGATAGTAATTATTATATGACAAATACATATGACTTCATTTATATGAGGTACCTGAGAAAATTCAGAGCTCAAAAATAGAACCAGGTTTATCAGGTACTGGAGAACAAAAAGAGTTTTCAATGGAGTTTCAGTTTGGAATTATAAAAGTGCTTAAGAGGGGCTGACGAGAAGACTCAGTAGGTAAAAGTGCTTGGTATGCAAGACTAGCAACTTGATTCCAATCCCTGGAACCTTCATAATTTTAAAGAAGAGAAACAATTCCATAAAGGTGTCCTCTGCCCTCCAAACACATGCTTATCCTCCATACCCATCTTATGGTGGGTGCACATATGTGCACAAACACACACACACAGAAAAAAAAGGAGACAGTAGTGATGGTTGCACAAGCACAACAATGTGAATGTAATTGATGCCGCTGTACCACACAACTAAAAGTTCTGGGGCTGGGGATGAGTATGGCTTAATGGAAAGTACTTGCCTAGCATGCACGTGGTCCTGGTCTTGGTTCACAGAAATGAAAAAACGAACCCCTTAATTTGTGTTATTAATTTTTTTCCAGGATAAAATCCATTCTTTAGAATTACAATGAAGCCAGCCTGGTCTACATTGGGAGTTACAGGACAGCCAGGGTTACACAGAGAAACCCTGTCTCGAAAAAAGCAAGCCAAACCAAACCAAACCAATCCGATCCATCAAACAAACAAACAAACAAACAAACAAAATCCTATAAGTTTCTTTTCAAGGGGAAAGAAAGGTCTAAAAACGTACTAGATTAATAAATTCATTTTCTCTCCAGTCACTGTCTTTTTCTTAATAAGAATGCAATTAACTCCATTAAAATACAGCTAGGGCTGTAATATTTTTTCTCTAAAGAGTGTAGTCTTGGGTGATGTTGGGATGCCTGGTCATCTTAGTGCCCACCAGCTACAACTTTAGTCTTTGCCACTGCTAACAGGTATTTATTGGGTTCTCATAAAACCCTAAACAAAACCTGAAGTGTAGTTGGATGGAAACTACCCAAAACTTCTTTGCTATGAAGGCTGACTCCCCTATAAGGTGCCATTCACTAAACTTCCTGAGCAGCTGGTAATTAATCCATGGTTAATTATCATGAGCTATAGTATGTTTCAAGAAACAAAGAACTACAAAAATTGTTGGGCACTATGGAGGCAACTGTAATTCAAGCACCCGGAAGGCAGACACAGCATGAGTGCAGCAAATATGAAGTTAGTCTGGGTTGTGTAATGAGTTTCCATGAGACCCCGACTCAAGTTAAAAACCAGAGGCTTGGATAGCATACAATGTGTTCTAGAGTTCCTGGTTCTAAGAGATGACAGAGCAATGTATCAGCAGTCACAGTAACATGGATCCTTTTGCCTTTAATACAGGTGCAAAAAAGGTTCATAACTAATAACGGATTTACTACACTGTTAACTTGTAAAAACACCATCACTTTAGACATTACTTCAGCAAAGTTTCATTATTCACTCATTAATTCATCTTTGGGTGCTATGGACTGAACTTAGGGCCTTGTTCATTTGAGACAAGCACACAAGCATTCTTGCCAATTGATCCTCAAAATTCTATGATTCTTCAAAGTGCATGGTGGCTTTAAAGCCAATCATGAGATGAGAGGCATTAGTTATAATTAAGCCACTGGACTGAAGGTTTTCAATGAGAAAGAACAATTGCAATTTAGTTACTTTGTAACATTTGCTAACATACTAAAATTATGTCATGAATATTATAAAACTATAATAAATGCCTTTAAGTATAAAGAATGGGCTAGAGAAACAGCAATTTTCACAAACTGTATTATACATGATGAAAATCATACTCTAATTCTACAATATATCTTACATAGTTCACAGCTAGTGATCCAGAGGAGATAAGTTACTTTTAAAAGACAAGCTGAATAAGGCTATAAACATCATTAGGGCTCCTTGGTATTTTGATCTACTTTCTAACATCATATGACCACATTTTGATGGCTTTTTCTAACTTCAAAGGTGTTGTAAAAGATAGGTTCCCTGCTCTATATTCCTCATCTGTTGATCACTTTTAGGGGAATATTTTTAGTTTTTATTACATATTATTTAATTTTTAAATTACATACAAATTCATGTATGTGGGTGTGCATGTCACAGCACACATGTGAACTCAGAGAACAACTTGCAGGAGCTGATTTTCTACTTCTACTATGTGGATCCTGGGGATCAAAATTAGGTCATCATACTTGATAGCAAGCATCTTTACTTGATAAGCCATCTTGCCAGTCCATTAGTACAGGTTTTATTTATTTATTTTGACAACTGTTCTCTATATTATTTAAAGTAACCAAAAGATTGCACTGATATAGTCAGACTGCTTTGTATAGCATTGTGAGTTACATAATTTTAAATCTGTTTCATTGTGATACTTTCATATGTGTATATAAGGTGCTTTGATCATATTTACCAAGTTATTTATAATTGCAAATCTGCTAAGTTTTATGGCTTCTCACTGCATAAGCATAGCTGTTTAAGACTTAAGTTTAAATTAATAAATCGGACCTCCTGAAATTGAGACGCTTCTGTGAAGCAAGGAACACAGTCAACAAGAAAACATGGCTCCTTACAAAATGGGAAAAGATCTTCACCAACTCCACATCTTTCAGAGGGCTGATATCCAAAATACACAAAGAACTCAAGAAATTAGACATCAAACTACCAAATAATACAATTAAAAAATAGGGTACAAATCTAAATAGAGAATTCTCAACAGAACAATCTCAAATGGCAGAAAGACACTTAAGGAAATGCTCAGCATTCATAGTCATCAGGGAAATGCAAATCAAAATCACTCTGAGATTCCATCTTATACTAATCAGAATGGCTAAGATCAAAAACACCAACGACAGCTTATGCTGGAGAGGATGTGGAGAAAGGGAAACACTCCTCCATTGCTGGTGGGAGTGCAAACTTGTACAGTTTCTTTGGATATCAGTATGGCAGTTTTCCAGGAATATGGGAAATTGGTCTACCTCAAGATCCACCAATTCTACTCTTAGGCATATACTAAAAGGATGTACATTTATACTACAAGGACATCTGCTCAGCTATGTTCACAGTAGCATTATTTGTAATAGCCAGAACCTGGAAGTAACCTAGATGCCTCTCAACTGAAGAATGGATAAAGAAGATGTGGTACACTTACCCAGTGAAGTACTACTCAGAGGTAAGAAACAATGACATCCTAAAATTCACACACAGGCAAATGGACAGAACTAAGAAAAACCATCCCGAGTGAGGTAACCCAAATCCAGAAAGGCAAATATAGCATGCACTCACTCATAAGTGACCCGACATAAAGCAAAAGATACCCAGCTTACAATCCATAACCCCAGAAAAGCTTGACGGAAAAAAGGCAGAAGCAGATGCAGAAATCAACAACTAACCAATGGGTTAGGCTACTGGAGTACAATCAATGTGAGGGAGGAGCAATAGTATGAACAAAGGAGTCAAGATCATGACGGGGAAACCCACAGAAACAGCTGACCCAAGCTAGTCAGAGATCACTCACTCAGATCAGTGGGGAACCTGCATAAGCTCGAACTAGACTCCATTAATGTATGTGACAATAGTGATACTGGGATAATATATGAGGCCATTGGCAGTGGGTCAAAGATCTAACTCTAATGCACAAACTGATTTAGTGGAGTCCATTCTATATAGAGAGACACCTTGCTCAGCTAGACAAAGGGCTGAGGGAGATTCTGCCTCAAGGAGATGATGGGACAGACT